CAGGCGGGCATGGTGCGGTTCTTTGCGCCCTTCTTCGTCGCAAAGGAAGCTGTCCCTTACCTGGCATCCGGGCCCGCGAGCTCCATCACCCTGACCACGGGCTCAGTCTCGGAGAAGCCGCTGCCAAACTGGGCCGTCGTGGCGTCGTACGCGAGCGGGCTGCACGGAATGACGCGCTCGCTCGCCTTGGAGCTTAAGCCCGTGCGCGTCAACTTGATCTCTCCCGGCGGCGTCGACACGGAGCTCTGGGAAGCCAGTTTAGGCGACAAGGACAAGGTGAAGGCCGCGCTTGACGGCATGCGCGCACACGTCGCCACCGGCGAGGTCGGCCGCGTCGAGGACGTCGTCGAGGCCTTCCTGTACGTGCTGAAGGACAGGAACGTCACCGGCACGTGCATCAGGAGCGACGGCGGCGTGTTCCTGATGTGAGAGAGAGACAGATCGTGATTACTACATATTCTCCTGCTGATAGCCTGGATGGGCAGTATATCGTACATTTCGTACATATAAGGTCGGACCTTAACAGCAGGCCGCCTAGCCTTGAGATATCTACATGAATGATACCATATAATGGCAAACCATAAATAAAAATAGGACACCAGGCCTGTATTATCTTACCTACGCAGAGTGTCTTCACGTGCTTGGTCATGGCCGTGGCCAAAAGCGAGCTCAATTCAAGCTGAAGAGTGAAGAAATAAATGCATCCAGACACACATTTCATTTCATTGCATCGACATCAATCGACTTGACCTGTGTTTCATTGGAAGTTGTATTATGTACTTACCAATCTCCTAGCTACAACCTGCTACCCTCACGGCCCAGAAGCCATTCCACACCACGCTTGGTCTCGTCCTTCCACAGCCCAGCCAGCTTCGTCCCAGCAAACACGCTCCAAAACACGTGTGGCCCACCCCCGTAGACGTCGACCTTGACATCGACGCCCAAATCCTGCAAGACCGACGCATAGATGAGAGCGTCGTCGCGCAGGATGTCCAGTCCGCAGACTTGGAAATACGCCTTGGCAGCCACGTCGGCATGCCTGCTGAGTGGTTGGACGTTGAAGGCGCGGTAGAGAGGCGACGACATGTCCGGGTTGTAAGCCATGTCGAACATGGCCTTGGTTTCCTTGTTGAGGACTGGGGCGTTGACACAGCGCTCGTCCGTGCGAGAGAGGTATCGATGCTTGTATTTCTCCGGAATTGTGTCGGGCGAGGCAATGAACCCTCCAGCAGCGAAGTATAGGGCTGTGATTTTGGGTAGGGGAGGCGTCTTCTCTTTGGCGTGGAGGGCGATGAGGCTGGCAAGGACGGCCCCCTGGCTTGAGCCGCCAACGATCAGGCCCAGGGAAGGGTCGATTTGGGCACCAAGGGACGAGATGTGTGTAACGATGTACTCAAATGCGTCCCAGCCATCGTTAGGCCCGGTAGGGAACGAGTGCTCTGGTGCAAGACGGTATTGCGGGCTAATTACCACAGAGCCCTGGTCTTTGACAAGCTCACGGGCCAAGGGAGCGACAGAGGATGCTGATCCCATGACGCCGCCGCCTCCGTGGAAGAAGATAATGAGGGGTTGGGAGCCTGGTGCGGGCTCTGTTGCTTGGAAGATGATCAAGTTCAGTTCCGCGCCGTCACGGGTCTTGTATTTCTGGGTTGATTCAGTGACTTCAGGCACCGCGGGAGGTGTGGGCCACTGGGCTTCTAGATCCCGGTACATGGAGAGGGCGGGTTTGACGCCAGATGAGAGGTCAATTTTGGGGACGGGCAGTCTGCCAGATTTCATGACCTGCGAGAAAAGGATATAAGCAGCTGGTAGGATCAAATGTAAGGACCGGTGTGGAGTTGAAGGAGAGCTGTGAGGCTGATGGGTGTGTATGTGGATGAGGCTGGAAAAGGGGTTGTAGCCTGATGGGGGCAGTACCTACAGCGTCGATTTCTGGGTCAATGATAGCCAGGGCATCCAGCTCTTCTTTGCTTCGAGGGGCCATAGTTCCTTCTTTCTCGGCTTTGTTTGTTTGTCTGGCTGGGAGATGGGAGAGCACAAGGCCTCTTCGAACTGTCCTCATCGGCAATGCGACATCGAGTCGCGTATATAATATGTCTGGTCTCAGGCTAGAGGCCACCCTAGGCCCGACATACCGTATCCGTATCTAGGACAGGCCTGCCTTGACCTTTCCGAGTTCCGTGTTCCAGGGTCGAATGGGAACGAATGATGATCCGAAAGCGTCGCCCACGGAGAAAGCCTAAACTGACCAGCGTGAAGTGAGATGGTGGTGCAGGGATAAGTCTGCGAAAGATGTGCACAAATTGAGCTTCATCCTGAAGATAAAGCCCATAAATTCAACGGTTTCGTCGAGAGTAAAGGACGCTCAGTGTTAACTCCGGCAGTTGGGCCTCGTGAGCCTCGGCTTCTCGAAGATGGAGAGGTCATGATGGACGAAAGGAGTTGGGTTTGGGGGAGTCAGCCTTGTTCGTGCAGAGTTGGTGGCGCGAAGTCGAACAAAAGACGGACAGGATGGCTGAGATCATAGATTGAGGCAATGTGGGCTCAACACAAGCCGATCAGCTAGCTAAGAGCTGTTTGCAATGGGATTCCCAGTAGTATCGTTGTATTCATGGCTAAATTGAGAGGGAAGCAGGTTCGCAGCCAGGCTGGAGGGTAGCGGATGTGTGCCAAGCACCCACAAGCCCCAGCAGATGTTTGGTTCGACTCTACCGAGTATTAACTGGAAGGGCGCCCGGGCACCCAGCTGGGTAGGCATCGCTCGGCATCACTAAGCCCCGCTAGCGACCCAAAGGCGTCTAAGGAGCCCACCAAAGACATAAAAGTGTGCCCAGTGCTGCCCAGTGGCAAACCCCGTCCACCAGCATAAATAAGGGCGAGCCTCACCACCCACTTGCCAGGTGCATCCCACGCTATCTTCGATAACGCAACTAACTACGGAGTACTACGTAAACAACCAAGTGGTCCCAAAACTTGCCCACCTTCTTCAACACCATGAATCCTTTCATGTTGGCCATAAGCGACCTCATCGCAACGGCCATCACAGTCCCAACCGCCCTTTTCTTCACAAACCACTTTGGCAACTTGGCTGATCCCAACACGCCCTCGGCCTACACTTGAACTCGTCTCCTTCTAGGGACTCCCGTCCCCATCGCTGGGCCCCATGGCTGAACACCAAGTGGGCGCGCCCTCAGTCCTTGCCACCCACACTCTTGATCCCAGTCAACAAGAAATCTCGCATCCGCCAAAGTCGTACACATATTATCACGCCGGTCCGTTATTCACCATCGCAGAACTCCACACAAACGCTCTTCTTGCTGAAGCCATTCGACAATGGTCTTCGGGGAAATTCATCCCCATCTTACCACAAGATCTTGAACAGCGTGACCTGAGCGCTCACTCAATCAGAGACGAAGATCTTCGTGCCCTGGTTTCCTGTGATATGGCCATGTTCACCTATGACGGCACCGAGTTGGACGCCGGCACGGTCGTCGAGTACATGGTCGCCAAGATGGCCGATATCCCCACTGTCATTCTACGGACAGACATTCGAGGAGGGGGCGATCAGAAAGGAACAGGCGATCCATGGAACCTGATGAGCTCCAACTGGCCCAGAACTGTGGGTGTGGCTGTTGACGCAATGGTGGGTTACAAGACGAGTCTCCAGCAGGCACAGTCCGGACAAGGGTCTCTCGGGAGGACGGTTGGCGAGTACATGATTGAACAAGTCGCCCAGAAGGTTGTCGATGCTTTTGAAATGGTATTGAAGGAGCCCCCAAGAATACCGAAAGAACTGAGAGAAAGTGTGTATCAATGGCTGGCTCTGATGCCTGGATTCAAGAATGGAGGCGATCAACATAATCTGGAGGTATTCACAAAGCTGTGCAAAGAGAAGCAATCTAGAGGCTTGTTATGAAGAACTAAGTTGAAACCCTGATTGAACTGACCATTTGAAGAGGACGAGGAAGTGGGAAGAGCACTTTGAGCACCTTGAGCACTGTTCCCGCCATGTTTTCCTATGTGACGTCTTGACCCTCGACATTGTGCGACCCCCCATTCATTTCAACGTACAAACTACCACGGATCAAGCCGAATTCGAATCCAAGAAAATTACCAGGTGAAATTTCATATTTACCCTCTGATCTAGAAATTATGTTTGACAGCGTCATGTTTCATTACCACAAAAAAAAAAAAAGAAAAAAAGGAAGAGAGAGAGAGAGAGAGAGAGAGAGAGAGAGAGAGAGAGAGAGAGAGAGAGAGAGGGGAAGCTCACACATCACGCACGAACCATATGAATGACAAGATGGCTAGAGAAGAGTCGCGAAGAGTCGCGAAGGCCCATCTAGAGGGAGACATAGACACCATGCCGGGTGCGAAACTCAAAACCCAGAGAAAACAGGGGAGGGCATAGAGGTATATGCCTTTCACAAAACGCAGAGGCTCAGAGAGAGGAATGGCTCAGAGCCGAATGGTTCTTAAAAAGTGTACAGTCAAAGGGTAGGCCTTCAATTGATGCTAGAAAATGAAGGAAAATCATATCATTTCACCTCAGAACACGTTTCAGGGGAAAGAGACATAGCGGGTTTATCGTGTCACGGAGAGAGTAGACTATATTGGCAACAAGTTGAAGATGGTGGGAGGAAGAGAGGATGGGAAGCGGGAAAGAGGGAGAGAGGGAAAGATGTATGTCGTGATATACGTAGGAATATTTACTTGTTATCGAGCTAGGCATTTCAGAAACATGAGGAGCTGTTAGCTATTAGAGGGATTGAATATCCAACATAATGACAATACAATCCATGAGACGGTGAATCTCACGCTATGCCTGGCAGAAGGCTGACAACACCAACACTCTCAAGAACAGTGACTACAACCCACGAGCCATCCCATCCCTGAATGCCTTACCTGATCCATTCTAGTGAGATGTCTGTGCTAGCTTCTGGGCCGCCATTCTCTTGGATCCGCCACAATGGCGAGCTTTTACTCCATCGCCGCATGGCCTAGGCTATGACGACGAAGGAGGTGAAGAACCCAATGGCTGCCGCCGTACCCCAAAACACCGTGACGTTGTATGCCTTGCGGTAGAAGACTCCATTTTCAAAGTCCATGTAGCCTCCATACGCAGAGCTACCAAACGTGCTCGCCTGGCACACACAACCAGTCAATACTCCCAAGACCTGAAATAGCGTCAAAAGGAATAGCAACACCACCGCCAGGAAATTGGGCAAAAGCAGTAGCTTTTGCAACCAGCGCCATGGCTCCTGGATAACCAGCAGCATTAGCCATGATAGGGAAGTCATCAGATACCAGATCAAGTAAAGTCCGGATCGACAACCCAGCCCTATCGTTGGCGTGTTGAATGACACAATGAATGCCATGCCAAAGCTAACTAGGAAACACGATATCAGCACGTGTCATGTAGATGAGGGCAGAATATGCACATGAACATGCAGAAGCATGGAAATGACGTGGGAAGGCGTCTGTGAGCCTGACCAGCAGCTCCTTGGCTCTGGCTTGTAGTAGACTCTGGCAACGTCCGCAGAGGAGGGACTTACTGGCAACAATCATCTCGCTGAATGCCCATGTGATATACCACGAGTATGGTCTTCTCGTCAACTGTGTTTCGAACCCAGTCGGATCGTCAAGATTGAGCTTATCGAGGTCCCCTCCTGTTCGCTCGTATTGCATAAGCGCAGCATTGGCGACACCGCAATACCTCAGGTATCGTCCTTGGCCAACAAAGCGCCCAATGCCATATGCTCTTCGCAGTCCAGGATGCTTTCGTTCGAGAGCTTTGCTCCACAATATCAGGTGGGTATCCTCTGGTCCTCGCTGTACTTCCTCGCCCTGTTCCGGTTGTGCTGCCTCGGTCCCGCTCGCATGTTCTCCTTGCGGAGGCTGGGTGTATGTATGAGCTGCATTTCTGATACGCTCCTTCCGCTTTTGTGCTTCAACGACCTGGTCGATATTGAACAACCACCTTTCGATGAGCTCCTGGCATCGACGGGAGTTCGTGGGGTTACGATCGACAATTGCCATAACCACTAAAGACGGAATCCAAGACAGTAGAAGTCCAAGCGCGAGTGAATGTGCAGTGGTATTATCACCAAGATCGGCAAAGGCGACGGCGACCGAAATGATCAATGAGACTCCGAACCATAGGATATTGAGCGCCAAAGGCCACACTCCTTTCCTACGGCTGAGGCGTAGTTGGTACGCAAGAGTGGCGTTCAACTCTGCCAGCCGGTTTCGGAGCTCTTCCTCGTCAGGATGCAGATCTCGTTCGGACAGCTTCAGCTGGCCGAAGACTCCCTGTAAGAGCGCTCTATTCCGACGTCTCATGGTAGAGGGGAATTCTTCCTCAGAGTCACTGGAGGCGTCCACGCTTTGCGATCGTTTTACCCACGCTGCCAGTTTCTCCAACCTTGGGAGGGCTCGTTCGCGCATTGTCTCCGTGTGAGGGCGGTCAACGAGCTGTGTGGTCTGCAACGTCCCTGGGTATTGATACTGATTGATACAGCTCAAGATATACATGGCGTCGTCCATTCGGGCGTCTTGGGATGATGATCGAGCCAGTTCATTGCATCTCTTGATCATGTATATGTTGAAGATGGTTGTGGTCAGGCTCGCAGACGGAGCACCCATCCAGTTCAGAAAGGCCTCCAGATTCCTTCTCTTGCGTATGTTCAGCGATTCCCAGGGCAACTGGGCAATCAAGCTCACAGTGGGCAAAATCCAAGTCGTCAATATCTGGAAGATAGTGAATGCATCCCATAAATCTGGACTCGAGCCACAAGCAGCTATGCACCCTTCAATGGTCAGGGACAATGACTGGTTTCGATATACCGGATTGATGCCTCAAAGGTCACCGTGATAAACAATGTCAAAGCCATAGGTGCTGCATGTAACCAAGTTAGCCCAGAATTTCTCCAACAGCTAGCATGAATAGAGGACATGCCTTTCGATGGTACCATCTTCAATGGCCTGACGGACCTGAGCTCCACATTTAGGAAAGTTGGCTGCATGTGCTTTTGTCGTAAGGTTAAGACCTAGTACTAGAGCGAACAGGGAGATCCTCGCCAGGGAGACACTTGAGGGCAACTCCATCACCAAAAAGGCGGAGTTAACTTCACAAAAGGTCATATACAGGCTGAATTGGTGGGTTAGGAATAGTATTTATGTTCAAAGAGGCCCACGGTAACAAACAAGGAGTGGCCGCGGCTGTGCATTTCTCTAGTCCAGATATCACTTGCCGGGGTAGAGCCATGGTTCAGGCGGCTGAAAACAAAAAAAAACAAATAACGAATCTCCAGTTCAGAACTGTCAATCAGGTAGACGACATGGGTGCCGAGCGAGTTGGACTGTTGAGAACAATGAGCCTGTGGTCTTCCTGCATACTCTGTTGGACAAAATTGACAAGGCAGACGTGGGAAGCTGCACTCATGCAAGTTGCCAGGAGCACCAACACACAGTGATTATTGGTGTCTTGATTGCCAACCTATGCGAGTAAATTCGTGTGGGGATGAGAAGAAAGCGCTGGCTGGGACTAGGAGGCTCAAGGACGCCAGCTAATCAGGGCAAAACATGGACATCCATGTAGACTGCATTGACATCGATCGTTAACTCCCTTCTCGAAGCGCCACAGCACTATAACAAGAAAGGGATCCAGCTCGTTCCGCGCCAATGGGGACAACAAATCTGTGTCCCGGTTGTACAGACCAGTACTTTTGCTAAGGCCAAGGACTTTGGCCTTGCAACTTTCGCCCTGAACGGCAGTTATTCCAAATTGTTCACCATATGCTGAGTAGTGACAGGTTCTGGCCGGAACGGGTGTTACGTTGCGTGCATAGCCCACTGTGGCTGACGTGACAAAGTCAACCAACGGCAGAGGTATCGTGGAACGAACAAGGGGAGAGCGAGCAGGCTGTAATTGGTGATTTTGGAAGAGGGATAGGGAGAGGGCGAGAATCGAGACTGGCAAGGCTGCAGGCCACTTTGTGAATTGTAAATGCTGCGGCTGCCAAGATGCCAAGGATTTGAAATGACGTAAATAGGTACCTCGTCGAGTACCAGCCTCGCCAGCACCTAGGCACGTGACTATGACTGAAGCCGAGGCGCCCAGGGACGCTCAGGGCGCTTTGGGGCAGAACGCTTCGTGATCTCCCATGTCTAGAGTGGTCTCTGCAACAGAACGGCTTAGAATATTTGCATACAGAGAAAATGAGGAGTTGAGCGAAGCTTTGAGGCAGATGCTACAGGCTGGGGCCGGTGAGTGGTCTGCGCATGTTATGAACTGCGTCCCCAACCAGCAAAAAGAGCTCAAGCGAATTCGCTTACTACGGTCACTACCGAGTACCAGTTTCGAGACCCCAAAACCTAAGGCAATCCATGTAACTCGTTCTCCCTGTTAGCCATTGTCTAAGAGGCAATCAACCGTGGTCGAAATGCTACACAGCACTGTTTTGGGATATGCTGTTGTCACCATCCTCTACTTGCAAGCTCTGGTCACCGCCGCTGAAAACTCACAGACTCTGCTAAACTCCGATGCAATCACTCCACAACCAAGACAGCGACCACACCGAATAGCGATCATAGGCGCAGGCCCAGCGGGCTCTTCTACATCCTACCACCTCCACAAATTCTCCCAGCAGCTCTTGCCGCCCTGTGAAAGCAAGCCTATACAGATCGCGGTCTTTGACTCCAACCCTTACATCGGCGGGCGCACCACCACTGTTAACGCCCTAAGTGATTCCCGCTACCCAGTGGAACTCGGCGCAAGCATCTTTGTCAAGATAAATCACATTTTATACAATGCCACACGAGATTTTGGATTGAATGCTTCTGCAAAGATCTATCAATCTGAACCTGATTCAAAGTACGAGTTGGGCATTTGGGATGGGAAGGACTTCGTCTATAGGGCGGCGAGGGATGATGATGAGGATAGAGGATCTTGGAGAGGATGGTGGGATATTGCCAAACTGCTTTGGAAATACGGATTGTCCCCTATACGCACGCGGCAGGCGACGACGAAGGCCGTTGGAGAATTCTTGAAGTTTTACGATGAACCCATATTTCCCTTTGACTCGATAGGAGACGCCGTGGACGCTACCGGACTGCATGCCTATACCGGCCTCACAGGGAAAGATGTTTTGCAAAACGCGAAAGTGGGCGATCGGTTTTCTCGCGAAATCATCCAAGCGAGCACGCGCGTGAACTATGCGAGTAATCTAGGCGGCATACACGGATTGGAGACATTGGTGTGCATGGCCATCGAGGGAGCCATGGCCATCGAGGACGGCAATTGGCGCATCTTTGATGAGATGGTGAGGAGAACTGCGGATGGGATATTCCTGAACACGACGGTTACGGCTGTCACTAAGGACGAAAAAAAAGGGACATTCAAACTCACGACTGCGAACGAAGAATTCAATCGACAACTCAAGAACGATTACGGAGATGAGTTTGATACTGTCATCCTCGCGGCCCCCCACCAGTTTGCCAATGTCGCCTTCACTCCACCGCTCCTTGTCACGCCGGAGAAGATACCCTACGTTTCACTATACGTGACACTGTTCACCTCGCCGCACCGTCTTTCCCCGTCATTCTTTGGACTCGACTCTCAAGCCGATGTGCCCTCGTCTATCCTCACAACTCTCTCTTCGGAACTGTCAGACGAGCTAGGGTCTCGACGAGGTGTCGATGCTGTGGGCCCCCCGGGATTCTGGTCGATCAGTACACTTCGGATCTTGCATCCAAACACAGACGGCACCTTTTGCGGGCCGACTTCAAACTGCACGAAGCTGCCTCCTCAAACCGGAGCAAGCGAAATCCAAGATACACAATACCTGTATAAAATCTTCTCGCCGGCTCCTTTGACGGAGTCGTTCCTTGCGTCCTTGCTCGGCCTCCAATACCCACCAAAGCCGGAAAACAAAAACGACGATCCCGTCTCCCTTCTCCCCAAATCCGAGATTTCTTGGCTTCAGGAGAAACATTGGCACAGCTACCCCTACGAACTGCCCCGGACAACCTTCGAAAACTTCACGCTATGCTCCACGGAGCCATGCCTCTCACACGGCATCTCAGACGGGATATACTACCTCTCCGGCATGGAATCCTTTATCTCGACAATGGAGACCTCCGCTCTTGCGGGAATGAACGTCGCCCGACTGGTCGTGGAGGGTCTACTGGACGCGCAAGAACTGAGAGAACCTCTATCGGGGATGGTGCTATAGCGGAAGCCTTTGACCGGCATTACAGGACCGGACAAGAATTGAACCCAACTGTCCAAAACCACGCCTAGCGTACCATGTTCCTCAGAGGACGAAAGAGAGACCGAGATCAACCCATGCACTTGGTCGTCATGTGGATAGAGATCGCAGACCCAACCATCGCGTGTCAGCGGCCCAACTCATGGACAACAACCCTTTCAAATACACCACATATAACGCCATTGGAGCGATAGCTTCTCGCTGCCGCTGCTGGCCTCCACACACTTCCAGACAACTTGGCTATCCAGCACCAGCTCCGTTGCACGATGGATTCCTCGTCATCACCACCGACGCCGACATCTTTTCACAGCGAGTAGGATCGTCCGACATGGATGGCAACACCTTGCGGGGAAGAGTCACAGCCATCTCAACAGGAGACCTCGCAGGCACTTGAACATAGACACTCAGGCGCGAGTAAAGCAGATATGACAACGGATGTGCCAATGAATGTGGACGTGGAAGAAAAATTCAAACATATGCAGAACCAAATCGAACACATGCGCAGACTCCATAGCTAGAAAGTCCAGTTTAAAATTTCAAGTCGTCATTCCTTTCGGCAATGCATGCTGCTGTCCATGGACCCTCTAAGTGGACTCCCATTCTCGGAAGCCCCAGATCCCATCCTCGTTCGTGTTCACTATGATGATGAAATGCGAATCCTCGCGTGCTTGAAAATGCTGCGTGTCAATCCAAGCCTCCCGAGCCTTCGAGGACGCCAGGCGCCTTTTTTTGGTGCTGAACGCCATTGGAACGATCCCACCATTCACTCATTCGCGCAGCATTGACATAAAAAAAAGACAATCCTGTCCACCAATGTCATACGAGATGGGTCATGACAACACTATTCGATGCGTCAATGCCTTCGTCAGGCTTTTCGGTCCCGTTGTGGATTCATCCACCTGAGACGCCGCTAAAATACCCACGGGTTATTTATCCTTAGTCCCGAATAGAAAAATCAAAGTTCGAATGAGAGCCTGAACGCCAAGGGTATCATTACCATTACCATCCATGTCGCAAATAACGAATGACGAGGGAAAATAGGACGATCGCTCTTGGAGCACCATAGCAACCAGCACGAAAGGACCGAGATCTGCTCCCTTATCACGCCATTGGCACATTTCCTCTCAAGCTTGGGACATCGCACCCTGGATGACTGATTGAGAATCAGCCGGGGGCGTCGACGTCGGCTGCTGAATGCCCTCCACCTCCTTGCTCGCCGAGGATGTTGAAGGCTCACTTTGTGCTGCTTGGACTTTCGGAGCAGGGTTTGCCATTCCTGATGAAGCACCTTGAGGAGCACCTGATGTAGTGGTTGTAGGTGATGCAGTGTGGGGTGTGCTGTTTCGCCTGCTGGCATTGATCACGCTAGCGGGCGCAGGCGAGCCGGTCCGCGAGAACCCTGCGAAGTTGGGATTCTTGAAACGCCGGATAAAATCCCGAATGTGTCCCATGATCGTCTCCTCTTCGATAGTGTGGCCACCTGGCATTAGAGACTCAGGGTGGCCGTGAAGCAATCTTCGCGTGGCGGATGCAAAGATCCTTTGCCAATGCTCAATTCTTGCGGGGTGGACCTGCTCGAGCATGGCACTCTCGAACTTCTTGATAGTGATGAGACCGTCTAAGGTGCAAGGCATGTTCCGCGACGCAGAAGAGCTGGTGGGAATGAGTGGTGCGGATGCTGATGCTGGTGTCGCGACAGCACTTGGTGTCGGATGAGACCCCTGACTTGAATGTTGAACGGAATGTGCAGGGCCTGATTGAAAATGTTGATGTTGTGGTGGAAAGGGTGATTGTCCTGCTGGGGACGGTGGATAGAAAGAACGATTCTGACCCGCAGGATATGCTGGAGTCGACGGTGGCATCCCCCCTGGCGGAGCCGGCCACGGCATGCCATTTGAGGGCGGCGGCATGGATCCATGCGGACCTTGCCCATAGAAAGGCGGATGATGTCCTTGGGGAGGCATCCCGTTCTGTTGAGGATATGGTGTGCTGTTTTGCCAGTTCAACATTTGAGGGGGGCCTTGGGGTACATTTTGACGTGGTGCCGGTGTGGGCTTTGGTTTGGAGGCTGCTGCTTGCTGGGCTGCTCGTCTTCTTTCCGCTTGAGGCTGTAGGGCCCCAGGGATCGCTTTCCACGCAAATCCTTTGCCTTCCTTCTCGCCCTTTTCGAAGAGCTTGTTCCATTCTTGGTTCAGGTTATGTCGGACGCTACTTTGCCATCCTTCCGAGTCCACTCGGTGTACAAAGAATGGGAATTTCAGCTTCAAAGCTCGGTAGATCTGCTTCAAAGGAAGAGCCTTCGGGTGGATGTCAAGCAAGATGTCGTAGATCAACCGGGCATAGGGCTCGGACGGTCTGGCAAGCTGTTCTTCGGTCAAGCTCTCTGCAGGAGGATAGTCTGGACTCGGGGATTTCGACCTGGCTTTCTTGACCGGCGGCGGTCTCTCGGGCTCGCTAGGCACGTCGACCTCACCACCCTCAATTGACTGGACAATGTCACCGTCTTCTCCAACCCGCTTTCGCTTCTTGTATTTCCTCTTCTCTGGTTTGGGTTCGGCTGCCGTCTCCTCCTCCATGGTAACAGGTCTGGGAGGTTTGGAACCTCGCATCACGGGTGGAGGAGTTCTCCCTCCATTGGCGGCTTTTGCTTCCGCAAGCTTGGCCGCCTTCTCTCTCTCTTTCCTTTCTCGAGTGGACATGATTCCATCCTTTGGCGGCCTGCCAGGCCCTCGTCTACGCGGAGGCAGGGGCTGGCCATCGGGTCCAAGAATAGGCTCTGGAATCGCCGCTGATGGTCTTTCGATGGTATTCAGTATGATCTTGGTCTTGCTCCTGCCAGTCTTTGACGGCGAAGCGCTCCTGTCTTGTTCGTTCGACGTTGGCGAAGTGCTCCGGGGCTGGGAAGGGCTCTGTTCAACTTCCTCCCGGCCTGAAAGGTCGCTCGACGACTCGGCTTCTTGTTTCGGCAGCCTAAAAGTCATCCAGACATTCGAGATCTGTATTTTTGAACCGTCACGGAGAGGTCGTGTCTGGCCGCGTTGTAGATATACATCGTCCAAGAAAGCACCGTTTCTACCCATGACTTTCATCTGGAAGCGCTCCTTGTCGAAATCCCACTGAATCTTGACATGCCGCCGCGAAATGCTTTTATGGTTTTCCAGCTCAGATTTTTGGTGATTGCGCATTGCGTGAATAGGGATGAGCGGACAATTGTGGGCGTCCGGGATATGGTCGGCGGTTACTGGCGCTGGCTGTTCATTATCTGGCTCCTGCTCGTTGCCGTACTCTAGTTGTGCTTGACGTTCTGCCATCTTATGGTAGTCGAAAGGAGCGAGAGGGGGATTGTAGAGCACTTCCTGAGGTTTGACGACACTACCAGCAGACCTTTCAGACGAGTGCGAGTGTAATGGGTGACCATCCTCTCCCTTTTCGTTTTCCATAACGAGGCCATCATCGACGCCGCCAAATCCACCAGCTTCACTGACAACACTCCCTTGGACTTGGCTGTCGCCAGGTCGTGGTACGCCCTCCGACAGACCTGACCGTCTCCCGCTCGAGCTCTGTGCACGGTCTTGTCCGGCCTGGCGCGCTTCTTCGGCCTTGGCGAGGGCTGCCCTGTATGCAAAAGCATCCCTGCCTAGTTCACACGCATAAGTGGTGATGTAGTAGTTCCCGTCCTCAAATTCAATTTTTGCAAATGCTTCGATTTCCCTTCGTTCCGGGAGTGGGATATGAGAGGCAGTCGGTGGTTGAGATTCGTTCATATATGCTGTTAACAGACCGCTTGGTCCCGCAGGAAGTGGCAAAGGTTGCCCAAGGGGATCCATGGGTAACGTAGAAGGTAACGGAGGGAGCCCGCTGGCAGTGAGGAAGTCGTCGTGATTTTGTAGGGGGAGAGGAGGAAGTAAGATATCCGGATCTGTCTCTACACAACTGTTATTTGTTTTGGTCTCCGTGGCTTCACAAGGGCCTTCAAGACTCTGGTCCGGTAGAGGAACCATGTCTGTCCTAGTAGGCGTAGTTGCGGTCTGGGTCTGGGTTTGGGGTTTGGTTGGACTGTTGGGAGCAAGAGCCGCGAGCAGATTTCCCACAGCCTGATTCCGTTGTTGAATATCTATTTCATCCCAGGCAGAACGACTTGGCATGGATGGGTTGGTCTGCTGCTGTTTTAGTTCATCTTCGTGGTCAGAGTCACTGCCGCTGGGGTGAAGATTCGAAGGAGCGGTCCATGATGTGGGATCTGGCAGACCTCTTGTCGACGTCGCAATTGCCTGCGACGACATTACGAGGTCTGCGAGATCTTGGAGGGAAAGCGCGAGACCGTCAGGGTGTTGTCGAGGGCGCGCAATCTCTAAACGATCAAAAGTTCTGTCTGAAGAGCAAAAGTCGAAGAGGGAGGCAGCAGATGCGGGTCGGAGGCGGACAGCGCAGTCCCGTGGCAAGCCAATCACATTCGATACCAGGGACTGAGGAGACGTCGGGCATTTCGGGCCCGGCAGGCCACAATAAAACAAATAAAACAAAGGAGCCAGGCAATCTCTTCCTCTTACCGCCATGTGTGTGTAATGCCGAGTGCGATGCGCAAATCTATGGTCCCGCCAAATTCTATGGCATGCCTTTCTACTGGACTGCCCGACCAAGAACCTTTGACATAGGGGTTTCGATGCATGGCTCCGCGAGGGAAACAGAAGACTGTCCCGTCAAAGGGCGACAGCGTTCAGTCAACAAAGCCCCATCCGCCAGATTGGCCTCCTCTGGCTCCTCTCGTGCCCCAGGAGCAGCTGCTGATCGAGACCGTGGTTCCCGGCCAGATCTTGGTCATCCGAAACCTGTTCACGTCCAACTTATGCAGAATCTACGTGTCTTTTCTGTCGTCTTTGCCCTTGGCTACGACGCCGGGGCGGCCGAAGCGAGGGGAGGCAACTCGAGTCAATGACCGCTTCCAGATTGACGACCCGGTCTTTGCCAAAATCCTTTGGGAGCACAGCGGGATGCAGTATCTGCTGAGCTCCTTCGACGATCAGACTGTGTTTGGGGGCACTGTGATCGGACTGAATCCAAATATCAGAGTCTATCGGTATCGACCTGGTCAATTCTTCGACAAGCATTATGACGAGAGCAATAAATTACAGTTTGGCGAGGAAAAGCTACCTGCCAAAACCAGCTGGACTCTCCTCATCTATCTGACGACATGCGAAGGCGGCGAGACCGCTTTCTACCCAGAAGCTCTGGAAAAAGGCGACAGACCGCCAGATCCGATTGTGGTTGGACCTGAGACTGGGATGGCTCTCCTCCACAAACATGGCGATGACTGTCTCCTGCATGAAGGCAGAGAGGTCAAAAGTGGCGAGAAGTGGGTGTTGAGGAGCGATCTGGTTGTGCAGAGATGAAGCCAATAGACCGATCGACCAAGTAACCTTTGGAAACTTTGTAGTTGCCGTCCTGGCTCGTCCTTGGTTGCGTGGGTCTTGTTCTGAGCTGCTGATGAGGGAGGCACGCGCCAGATCCGATGCTGGGAACGTGATGTTATCGCTTAAGATGCTCGGCGTCTGTCTCGTTTGTGCCTTCTCGGGCTTCAGACAGCATGTTGTCGATGCCCTTGTCCTTGAGGGCTTTCTGCTTTAAGTCAGGAGCGGATGTATTAGGGAGTGTAAGTAATAAGGCCCACGCACGGTCAAACAACTCTTGTACTGCTTGAATAGCGGTTCACACTCATCGGTGGACGAATTCCCTCTAATGTATTCTGGAGCACAAAGTTCAGCTTGTGGCAAAACAAGAGGGAATGACCCCGTCCGTACGTACTCTCAGAATACCACTTCAAAAAGCAGCTGTCATATTTCCTGAAAACATATCAGTCTCGAATTCGAAAGCTGTTGATGACTGCCCGAGACTCACTCCTTGACCTCGTTACATTCAGGAGCAAGCGACGCCGACATGTTGACGCTTGGATGTGTAGATGAAATGAGAAATCCCAAACAGACTCGAGGCTCATCGTCTTTGGAGCTGACCGGAGCCGGAGCCGGAGCCGGAGCCGGAGAATATTTTATCCGGGTCAATTTTCCGCGAGCTCCACTCCGCGCCCTTGATTAGCCTTTCCTTGACCCGTCAAGCCGAAATGGAAATAACTTGGAGCATGGAACTCATGAGTGAACGGCGAGACAGCCAAGGAGAGACCTGCAAGGGAAGACGAAAGACAAGTGCACGGGCTGCCACAAGAAACACAATCTAGCAAGGGAGACCCCTTTGTCTGAAGTGGTTTAGCGTATAGAGATCGGGAAATGGGCAAGGCCGTGCACGGGACAGCCTCTCCATCCTCGACAGCACTCCCTGAGCATTCTTAGCGTAGAAAAGGTGCAGACTCGCTACCCGCTATTTGATCGAACGCACTTAAGACTTGGTCAATTAGCGAGCTAGCAGGCAATTCGTGTCCTCGACAAACCTCTCAACTCAAACATGTTTGTATGTCCTTCTTTACACAAGTCAAGCATATTGCACGAGAATGCCACAGGACGCCATAGCAGACAAAAGAGCTACCAGGCGGAGTCAGCACCTCGATCAAGAATTGAAAGTCATGCTCTTCCCCTGCAGCTCTTTGCCCATCTTTCCTCTTCTCACCCCCTTACTGGTATCCAATGCTTTCGCCAAAGGGTTCATTATCTCCCGTGCCGCTCCCATCTGTCCTTGCCCGCGACCTCCGGCAGCACCACCACTGTCACCTTGCTGTGCCAACGGCAGCGAATCAGGAGTCAGCAACGACGGCGCACTAGCGTAGTCGAACGGCTGCGTAGCCCGTGCCTTGGCTTCGGTCGCAACTTTCTCGGCCTCTTTGCGAGCTTTCTTCTCAGCTTTTTTCTGCTTCTTCGCTTGACGTTTTGATTCGAATTCTGCGTTTCGTTCTGCATCGGCTGGTTCTGGGTCTTGGGGGGAAAAAGTCGAGGTTGAGATTGCCACGCCAGCAGCTGTCGTCTTTCCTGTAGTGGTTCCGTTCATGGTGCTGGGGGGACGGACGAGAACAGTCAATCCATTGTCATCGACATCTTCGTTAATGTCATCTGTCTTTCGCTTCTTGCCCTTGTTCGAACGAGACATCTCGCTCAGGGTGAAGATCTCGTTGGCTTCAAAACGGAGTTGGTCTTTTGCTGTGGGAGGCCACGGATGGATTGTCTTCGCTGGTGTGGTCGAGGTTTCCGCTTGAGTTGACTGGGATACAGGCTGGACCACGGCTGCTGCCTCTTTTTCGGTCTTCTCGGCCGTGACGAGCAGGCGTAGCGGGACGATCGATGAAAGAGCTTCGATTGCACTGGCAGTATCGGTAGGAGTGTGTTGATACTGTGGCATTATATCGCCCCAGAACATCGAAGCAGACGACCTGGTCACAATGGGCACCGGATCATCGTAATCCAGTGACGCTAAAGCTGAAGTGGCGGCCAACTGCTTCAGAGTCGTGCCCAGTCCAGAGTACGTGCTTTGAGGTTGCGGCTTTTTCTCCTTCCGTGGTCGACGAATCGTCACGCCGAGGACTTTCTCACAGTGCTGGACCACTTCTTCGTGTGACTTGCCGTTCTTACCCTCAATTTTGCCTTGCTTGACAACCTCGATAATCTCAGGGATACGATCCGAGACTAGCTTGGATTCTCCTCTGCACGTCTGATGGAAATTGAAGGCCGATGTTGGCATGTTTTCTGCGACAAGCCACAATGTCCTGTTGGGCAGGATGTATTGAATGCCCTCGTCTAATTCTCGAGCTCTCCGGTCTCGCCATGCGTGAAGAGCACGAAAGACCCCAAGCTGTTCTTTGTTCAAATTAACATACCTCTGGGTGAGCAACGCAAACCAGCCGAGCGGGCCGCCACCAGTCTCGAGGTCATAGAGTTGACGGGTATAGACTTGAAGCGCTTCTTTCTTCGACTGCATCAAGACATAGTCCGTGAGATTAACATTGGGCGCCGAACCATTGACAAGCATGTTTCGCATGTGGTCGTAAATGGTCAGAAGGTAGTGTGTGTCTGATCGAGCATAGTCGATCAAGTCCTGAGGAAGAGGTCGCACCCGCCAGTCCGCCAGCTGGTACTGTTTTTGAGCATGGACATTGGCGAACTGTAAAAGAAGGTGCTTTAAGCCTTTCCCTTGGAATTGCAAAGCGCAAGCTGCATGATACGTGTCGAAGAGACCAACAATGTACAAACCTAGATCACGCTGCAACCAGATGATGTCCATGTTTGAGCCGTGTAGCACTTTCAAGATCTTCGGGTCCGCGAAAACTTGGTTTAGCATCTGTAGCTTCTCGCGCCATGGTTTCAGTGTATCAATAATCCAATCTTTTTTTCGCGTGCTGATCTGCATGAGACACACTAGCCCAACATATGACCGCAAATCATTGTGCTCAAGGTCGATTGCGATCTCCTTGGCGCCTTTAAGCTCTTCTAGCATCTCGATGACGCCTTCCTCTGTGTCAACGAAGATATGTTCGGTTTCACCAATCGGACTAAATGGTATCGGATGATTGAATTCGTAAACAGAAGGAGGGTATTTGTAGTCTTCGATCTCTCGTGCGTACGGGTGGTTGTATCTAAACACAGAATGAGAAAATGCGCGTAAAACAAGGATGGGGTAACCGTACCCTGTATCTTCAGTTCCTATGCTTTGTTCCAGCGGAACAATAGCATGAGGCTTCGTCTGGAGCAAAGGCTTAAAGGGGGTTGGGTCAGAATTGTTCACCTGTCTGTGAAAATGGGTTTGAGGTTTCTGCAGGTTGCTTGCAGCCGATCTCTGAAAACCCAGGCCTGTCTTTGTAGGTCTGGGAGAAGGGTCGGCACCTTGGCGAGCTGGATCCTGGGGTTTGATGATACCAGAGAACTCATCAAGTGCAGAGTCAGCCTTCTCAAGCAGGCCGTCAACAACATCAACAATGCCGCGCCAGTCGTCCTCTACACTATCTTGGTTTTGAAGCGTAGGTGGCTTGAGTGGTGTGTCCTGAGTGGCAGCCTTGAGCAGTTTGTTTGTCAGGCGCAGAAGGTGAGCATTCTGGCGATCGAGGGCGCGAGACAGCTTGTCGCTGGAAGAGCGATGGAAACCCAGGTCTTGGTTGGACACCTGTGTCGCGCTCCTCGTCACGTTGATGAGGGAGGCTTGAACAAGGTCCTGGAAGGATTTGAAGTCCGCAGTCAGGTCCATGACAAAGCGCAGGCTGTGTCAACTTCTCCCAAGTACTGTTACGCTAGCCGCAGCAGGTCATCGGATTGCTGTGCCATGCATAACTGGGGTATCGGGGACAGAGTGGTAAGTGAGAGATTTCATGATAATTTGAAGAATTGAAAAACATGGGTTTGATCCGAAGATACTCCACCGCAGGCCAACTACTTTGTCAGCGGCGACAACGGCGGAGTTTAGTTTCGCCGAAATGTAGTCTACGGCAGACCACTTAATCACTGGTGAGCATGTCGAGAGTTGCCTTTCGGCTCACCGTCCTTGACCGTCTTACAGGGAGCACTATGTGCTTCTCTTGAGCCACTGCCAAACAAACTCACCACAAAGAGGGACAATGCCTTGCTTTCTGCAGAACCTTGGAGATGGTTGGAACACTCAGAAGTACTGGCTGTGGGATTTGTCGAAAACGCAAGAAGAAGGTGAGGATGTCATGTTCCAGGTAAAGTGTCATCGATACTGAGCTCAGCCTGCAAAGTGCGGAGAAGAACTACCTTCATGCTCAGCTTGCATTAAAGCAGGTTGGAAATGTCCGGGTTATCCTAGAAGATGGAAGTTTGTCGATGAGAGTGGACCGCTCGCCTTGCTTTACCACAACAAGAAGTACATCTTTGAGGATGTCGACCGCTACGACCCGGCAGGCGACGAAAGCTCTTGCTTTCGAGGTGTCTTCATCAATAAAGCAAACACTTCTCTCGATCCAGGAGCACAGACCACTATTCACTGGCCTCTGGCTTCACCCCACGACCAGATATGTTCCACTCTGTGCTACATACTGGGTGAGCCACAGAGCAGGAACACCTTCCCCATAAAATCTCACGGGAGCTTTTATGCCATGATTCCCATCAGGTTGGGTGTCAGTATCGCTCTGGATGATGCGGTCTCATGCCTATGTGGCATTTACTTGGACTCTCTGAGGTCAACTGAAGTCACCTCGAAGGAGTCCCTTCGCCTGTACACACGAAGCTTGCGCTCTCTTCGCGAATCGTTAGACATAATGCACGTCCGCGCAGAGGCTGAAACAATATGTGCATCTATCATCCTGCAGGCGTGCGAGGTATGGCTCGGTCGTTTCGATCTTCATGACTCTCGGATGGAAAGCCAGAACCTGACCTGTACAGCTTGTTATGGCCGACGAAGGCGGGCGATGGAGTCAACTTTGTATGGGAACAAAACTTCTCATTCAAGAGCGAGGTCCCGAGGGATTTATTGGGACTTTCGAGCGGGCAATGCTCGAGTCGCAGCGAGCATGGTTTGTCAGTGTCTCCAATCCTAGTATTATAGCATGACTGCTAGGGTACCTATGACTAACATAACCAAGATTCTTCAAGACGCAAGTGTCGGACAAGAATGCTTTCTCTCACGACGACAGTGGCGCCAGTTGTTGAAGAGCTCATCCAATCCGGTAATCACCGAGGAGTCTGCTAGCATCTCACTACGATCTGAGCTTTGCGAATTTCTTGTTGATGTTCCGGGTCTTATTCGAGAGGCTTCAAACACAGCATATCAGATTCTAAATAGTGACACTGACTCGACTGAACTCACAGAGCGGCGTAAGAACGCAATTCTGCGGATAAAATCCGTAAAGCACGCCTTTGAATGCTGGTATTGCACCAAAATCGCCCCCCTGCGCTCCATTTCGGGGGCTCTGCAGCAGGCAAAGGCTGAAAGAATCAGCAACAGATCTCCACAGGATGAGCTCCTTCTTGCTGTCGTTGATTGCGTGTCTAATTCCATCATGATCAAGCTAGACACGTTGTGGGCCAGCCTCGACCCGGACTTGGAAACCCACAAAGTTGACATTCTCGCTTATCAAGAGGCGCAGGAGAGGCGGAAAATTATGATGTATCAGTCTTTACAATTTGTTAGAGCAAAATCCCTGGTCGCAGCAAAACCTCTTGAATTTGGATTGCGACAGTTGTGGCTGGACGCAGGATTCAAACAAAGCAACAAGACACGGAGCTGAGAAAAGAATTTTAAAACTTCTTTATCAACACCCTCGACACCGCTAGATCCGATAATCGAACCGAACCAAACAACGACACGGCGCTTTTCCACCTTCCACTGAATGACCCGCGCCGACCTGATAGTCTCCGAATGAGACTATCTTCCTTTCAAGCGTCCGGCCATTTCCTCGCATCCATCAGCGCTGAAGTGATTTATCAAGCCTTTGTAAGTCTTCTTTGCGAACTGCTCGGCCCGACTCAGCATCTCACCCTCATACGCTTTGATAGCATCCGGTAACTTTTCCCGGTCCTCGGCGCACCCGATGATGGCCTTCGCAAGGTCCAAAGAATCGACCATGGCAAGGTTGACCCCGACACCTGCAAAAGGAGTCATCACATGAGCTGCGTCTGTTTTAAAGGATGATTTATTACTTAAGGATCTACAATCTACCCGGGGGTGAGAGCCTATCTTTATAAGCGCCTCCAGTCTATCGTTTGCGGTGAGGTGAAAGAGGCTTTGTCCAACAGCGTCTCCCAGTAACGTCACTCCTCCATGGGACTTCCACTGAAAGGCTACGGGCAACATCCACATTCGGCGCGGGACGAGCTTGTCGTTCGCGTCTAAGATTGCTCGCTTCAGATCGTCACTGCAGTCGGCATAATACCTCTCAACGAGGCCCCTTCTTGCTTCCACGGGTGAGGACCAGTCGATCCCACATTTCTCAAGCCAGTCTTCAGGTTGTCGCACACCAGCGTAGACTCGGATGCTGTCGTTTCCCAGTTTCTGACATTGAATTGCCCGCCCTTCATCGAACATGAAGCAATTTCCTGCACCCACGAAGTCGCTCAGCCACTGGTGCTTTTTCTCGACTTCCGAGGCCCACAGCTCAATGGCAGTAATGCCCGAGTAATAGGGTTGCTGGTCTGTGAGGAATGAGCGTACTTTCGACCAAGCACCATCTGCACCAACGACGAGGTCGAATCCTCCCTCCATGGTGTCTTGAAAATGGAGGTCATATTTCCCAGCCTGTGATGACGACTTCTGTACAGATTGCAGCCTCTTGCCCCAAACCACGGTCCCCGGTCTCAACGAATCGAGGAGCAATTGCCGTAACTTCGTTCGATCAATCTCTGGGCGATCCGCGTACTCCTCAGGTCGAGTATTGCCCATAGTATTCTCGTCATATACAATGGTGCCGTCATACTTAAGCAACTTCATCGCTTCACCTTCTGGACGAGAGAGCCTCCTAAATTCCTCGGTCAAACCTGCATGCTGTAGGGCGAGCTGGCCTCCGCTTGGGTGTAAGTCGACTGTCCCACCTTGATCCCGTCCAAGGGAGTCGGAGTCGAGTTCGAAAACAGTGCATGAGAGGTTGTTGAGTTGAAGGAGGCGGGCGAGCGTGAGGCCGGCGGGACCGCCACCGACGATTGCGATTCGGATGTCGCTCATGGTTCCTTTGCCGTTGGAAAATTTTTGGCGGTAGCTTATGTTCTGAGTTAGTACTATTTAATGTCTATGTGGCCTTTGCTGACTTTGTTCGGGGGCGATGTCTGGCTCTTTATATATATGTTCGTCTACCTCCAGCCCACATAGCGGCTCGGTCGACACCCTCAACTTAACGGTGAGGACTCTCCTGGCAGTGTCACCCTCATATCTCATCACAGCCCGCTGATTGGACGCCGCGCAACATATCACAACACATTCCGCGTCCAAGCCTGCAGACAAATGTAGTGTCAGCATCAGGTACGCCAGGTCGCGTTCGGTGCAGCAGCGGGCCTCGTCTGAAACGCAAAGACCGAAGACCGAAGCTGGGCAAAGTGCCAAGCCTTGCGGGGCCGAAACGCATGTCGTGGCCGGGCCCACTCAGGCACAGACTCATGATTGGGTCCTGCGCAACGTCAACCAGCATCCACTTCCCATTCCCGCCACTTCTATCGCAATTGGGCATGTGCCTTTCGGTCCAGGCCATGCGCGAATCTCCCGCAGCCTTTGGCTTCCCGTCTCAATTTGCAAACTCTCTCCATCATCGGGCGAGGCAAGTGTCAATCTGACTATGAGGACAAGCGACGCTGAGCGTTAATTTTCTTCCTCGCATTTGCGCCACTACCATGTCGGCTCGGTTGTATGCAGGACCTGAACTGACTGCCTAGTATCTGGCTGGTCAACGTACAAGCGGCAGGTCCACAGAAAAAGGCTGAATAACTGATAGGTCGAGACACTTATCTCCGACTCTCTGAACATATACGAAGGGTTATAAAATGTTTGACAGCTATCTGCTTGCTCAAGTCTATTTCTTTCCTCGGAGCCCAGCAACCCATCAATAGTTGCGTATGCTGCATCATTACTGCAGGCATACCCTTTTTTTTTGTAGCGGCGCTGTACAAGTCCAGCGTCAATCAAATTCTCAACACTACCTTCGCCGTCAGCTCCAAGGCTCAACATGTCTTCCTCTCCGTCACCAACCCCCAACGACCTCCTCCATCAAGCCTTACCGCCACCAAAGATCGGCCTCGTAATCTGCTCGCAACGGCAACCACGGATCGGGAACCAAATCGGCACATTCATCTTCAATAACCTCAAGCAATACCAACAATCCACTCAGCATACATCACCAAACTCTCTACCTTATGAACTCTCCCTCATTGATCTAACAGACCATCCGCTCCCCTTCTTCAATGAACCTGGGATCCCACAGCTCATCACTGATCCCTTGGACTACACCCACGGTAAACTCCTCTCACATACGCACTATATATATTATTTCACAATCGAAACAGGTGTTCCAGTATCAGCCATTCCCCTTCTCCATTTCCTCATTTTCCGTACAGCCAGAAAGGACGAGGGTATGTATGCTGACGGGATTGTTCAATCCGATCGCTAGAACACACCCGCGCCTGGTCCAAAGTCATCACATCCCATGGAGCATTCATCTTCGTGACACCCCAATACAACTGGGGTTACCCCGCCAATCTCAAGAACGCGATCGACTACCTCTTCAACGAATGGGTGGGGAAACCGGCCATGGTCGTGTCATATGGCGGCCACGGGGGCGGGCAGAGTGCCGGGCAGTTGAAACAAGTCCTTGGAGCTGTTCGGATGAAGGTCGTGCAGAAAAGCGTCGGGTTGACTTTTCCGGGCCCAGGCAGAGAATTCCTTGCCAAGGCAGCCAGGGGGGATGACTTGGGGCTGGTCCCGGGTGAAGGGCTGTTGTGGGCGAAGGAGGTGGAGGAGGTGAAAGAGGTCTTTGACGAATTGCTGAAGATATTACATGAAAAATGAAGCACCGGAACGGCTTGAGAAATCCTCTAGACAGCGTGTAGGTGTCTTTGACTCACTCGACCCCAGTGAGTAGATGTAAGCAATAGCAGCTCTGATGCACAATATCTCGACGCGTCTGGATCTGATGGAAGCTGGGACATTCAATCTCCACATGGAACAAAACAGCCTTCTGCACTTGCTTGTGTTCACAGATCTCTATGGAATTTGGGTTCTCCCAACCGGCTCCGCCAGTCCTCTGCCTTGAAGAGCAGCAGGATTACCGGCAAAAAAAAAGCCACGTCAATGAGCGCCATTGCGACCCACGCATTCAGCAAGCCGATCCTTTCGGCCCACGGGATCGCGTAGAAGCCCATGGCGAAAGAATATATCTGTCTCGCGAAGTTCAGCAGCGAGCCAATCTCTGGAGACTGTGGCTTGTAGCACTGTATTGTAGAGATTGTTAGCGAGAATGCAAGGTAAGGCGGGGGCGTTCCAAGCGGATGGCCTCACTCACCTCCGCGGTGTACGTATAGACAACCGTCGTGGAAATCTGTAAACCGACACTGGCGACCGCGATTCCGAATGCCACGCCGATCCAATGCATTTTCTTCTCGAGGCAGATGCCTTCGATGATGATGCCAATCGGTGTGAGTATAAACGCTGGGAACATCGCTAGCAGTCTATCTTCTGGCTTGCGTTCACCACCTCTTCGTATTGCCCGCCGTTCGCTCACCCAATCAGAAAAACCACCCGACATGGCCTCGCCGATGACACTTCCAACCGTGATGGGGATTCCGAGCAAGAGTCCAGTCTGTTGAGGATGGAAGTGATAGGTCTTGCCGAACAGATTCGCGCTGGTGATGATGAAGAGAATACTGCCATACGCGAAGGACACCGCATAGGATATGGTGGGGAGAAGCACGCTGGGGTATTGCAGCATCTGAATCGGTCGGAAGAAGTCGACGATGCGTAAGCAGCGCGTAGGATGAGCCTTGCCTTGCATCAGCATGTTTTGAAGCCAGGTACGTCGTGGTCGCGCAAGCGCTTCAGGAGCACGTGAATAGAGCGTTTCTGGGACGGTGAGAGTGAACAGGACGAGGACGGCTGCCGTGACGATCGCCGGGATGTAGAAACACCAGTGCCATGTCAAGTCTTTCTCGATATAGCCGCCGATGATTGGAGCAACGTGGCCTCCAAGGATGAACGAGACAGTATATATTCCCATATAGAAGCCTCGCTCGTGTGTAAAGAATAGATCAGAGACGGTAGCACTGCCTAGTCCTAGAGGGACGCCACCGAAGAAGCCGTTTAGCGCGCGGAATGTCAGGATTTGCCCAAAATTATTTGCTTTCCCCGACGCCACGGACATGCCTATGCTGATAGCGACGGTGATGATGTAGACGGGTCGTCGTCCGTAGACATTAGATATTGGGTTCCACACGATCGTAGACACCCCAACACACGCGACGAAAGTGCTCGTCACGAAGGCCGTTTCGACGAGGCCTCGATGGAGGAAGAGCGAGAGAGGTATGAAAGCTGGGGTCTGAAAATGGTGTTAATTCCACAGAAGTGAGGTAGGATCCTGCGTGGAAAAAGCCTTACTATCAATGAGGCACTCAATAGTGCGAGGAATGACAGGAGGGAAACTTCACCAAGGACCACAAGCTTGATCCAAAGCTTCCACTACAGTTTTTCTTTAGGGTTAGCATATTCGATTACTCAATCGTTCTCGTCTGATCCACGCTCCAAGTTTGAATAAAACTGAGGGTAAGAAGGCCCGCGGGCTAGCCGCTGCGGAATTGGAGATATAACTTTCTAATATGACGATATAAGGTCACTTACATTCAATGGATCCAAAGGATCATCTGAGGGCTGCGGCACGAGCGGAAGGCCATGTCTGTCACGGTGTATAGTTGAATCCGCTGCACCAGCATGTGCATTATCCTTGACAAAGTCCGAGCTATTCGTGCTCTCAATGGTCGCCACTTGGGGCTTTTCAGACGCGGCCATTGCGGATGTCAATATTCCAAGTTGTGAGATTGGCAACAAGCAAAGTAGGTTACCATGGAAAATCGGCCGTGGTACACCACTTGCTTGATAGTCGAGACAAGTCAGATTCAAATAGAGATGGTCAACATCTTCCGATGTATTCACATGTACACAAGCCGGGGAGTTAAGGGAAAGGGCCGAAGCTGGGGAATGCAGGGCATCAATACTTACGGCGGGGGCGTGGAGAAAATCCTGGGGGAATTTGCACACCCTGGATTAGCCAAGCTTCTAGCTTAGTCCTGTATCGCTTCCCTAGCCCCAAGATCTGGACCTGGAAACCACCACTGCGTGGATCATCGTGCTCACAGGGACTCGTGCACCGTCACAATCGAGATGCAGATAGCTCCTGTGTACCTGCTCAGGCGATTCCATTGTGCACGGACCGAACCCAGCGAAGACATAGAGTACTAGTAGTGGGCCCCAGTGCCCATTATCCGGATAGCGCAAGGGAACTGACCTGATTTGTGCCATATGTTTTGTTGCCGTTGTCTCTACCTCGTTTCGATTTGGTCAGTACGGCGCAATCATCGTCGGATTTTGATCCTGAGCGTCAACGTCCCATGACCACATTCCTGATCCCAAAGATGAGTAAGACTCAAGTTGAGAACCTAGGTTGGCGGTCAGATCTTGGGTAATGTCCCAAAATGCAAAAAGTTCTGCATGAGACAGGTCGTCGTAGCCACCACTCTGGTCAAAGGCTGGGCCATCTAGAACGGGCGATGGTGCAGATCCGGTCTGCGGTCTCGAAGAGCTTGTGGCTCTTCGTCTGTCAACGAGCAACGATTTATCCATAAAGCCGAGAAGTTGTTGAAGGAAAGTGTATGTGCGCTGCGCGCATAGGTAATTTGTAGACATGTGCCTGATCATTTGCATTGCACGATCCAGCTGGGAAAGCGCCTTTTTGTCGTTTCGATATTCTGGGTCGACCACATGCGATACAACAATTAGGATTGCATTAAACACTGAGTCACTAGGTCAGCAAAGAGAAGAGAAGTCGAATAAAGAGACCATACGGTAGTAGAGATTAAACCAGCTTGGGCCGACAGCATGCTTAGTCTGCTCATATCGAAGACCAACCAAATCTATCGCCTCCTCTGCGGTCTGGACGCAGATGTGTCTGCTGTTCTGGAGCATACTAATTTTGAGGGTCTCGGAAGTTTTCAAAGCTTCGACGCTTCTGGACAGGATATTGAGAGTGGAAGCGAGTGATTGTCGATGGATGAGAATCCTCACCATGTTTGCTCTGAGAGCGAGGATAAGGCACTTATCATCCTGCACGGTCGTGTTGCTCTGAACTCTGAGATTTGTGGGTACATCGGCGTACCATGACTCGAATGCCTCGTCTAGCTGCACAATCGTTTCCAAGGAAGGCTCAGCGAGGGAGGCTGCTGACTCAAGCAATCGATACAGCTTTGAAACCTGAATTGAGAAAGACATTCGGGACGGAGCCTCAAGGCTCGGAAATAGCAACCTGCTTGTCTGAATACAATCGTCGTCCAAATCTTCAGGGAGTGGTGTGTTGAATGTTGAAGACGAGGTTGCAGCCGGCCTCCCGTAGATCATACTCAGTAATTGGTCCAGGCCATAACAGGCGTACCACACACGCTTTCGCGTCTCTCGCATAATGCAGTCAAACTCATCTCCAGGTGCGCGATGAAGCTCAAGACCGTAAGCAATCCTGATTGCTAGGCCAAGAACATTCCAGCACTCCGAGGGGGAATTAGAACTTTGGAGGTATCTGGCGCCCAACAACAAAATTTGAACCTTTTCAATCTGCCAGTCGAAGAGTAACGTTGGTCCGACAAGGGCCATTGCGATGTCGTAATATCCCCTCGTGCTAGAAATTGACGCGCCCGTGCTGCGTCGCTGGTGTGAAGCGGCGATAGCAAAAATCATATTCATGATTGCCAGCGTGTATCTATTTTCTGAGCGGTACGCTACGTTACCACTAATAACACGGTCGATGTCTGCGAGGAGGGTCGGCGCATGAAAAATGGGCGATAGCTCATAGTGGAAATCGAAAAAGAGATCAACCAACTCCCGACAATTTGGTGGAAGAGCAAATAAGTCCACGGGCGTCGAGAAGCCGGGAGGATCCCGTGCAGATGATAGGGACTGGGCCTCCAGCTTGTTGGAATCGGCGCCATTCATCGCATTGAGAATCAGTTGGGTAAACGAGATGCCAGAGTTTCCTCCCATGAATATTTCAGGGCTGGCAGAGATGAGAATGGACTCGGAGGCACGTCGATGGCAACGAGGTGATGACCGCCCTGTGATGGAAGAGTTCGCCTGGCTCCTTCTTGCGGGTAGAGACAATGACCCTGAATGATCCGAAAATTGTAGCTGACCGTAAGGGCGGATTTCTCGCTCTTCGAATCTTCTAAGCCTTTTCTCTAGAGCTAGGATGTAGCTGAGCTCGGTTGAGCGTCAACAAGCCAGTCCTTTGAGGACATGATCACCGAGGAAAGCAACCTACGCTTGAGAACTCTTTGGCATTCCTTTCAGCATACCATCATCAACTTGTCTGGGCATATTGTGATTGCATTTTGTCTTCCGTGACCGACATTCGGGGCACGCAATGGCAACCCGTTTGCGCTTCTTGGTGACTCCATTGAAGCTTTGGGTTTGAGAGAGCGAAGGAGAAGACTGAAATGATCGATCGTGCGCGGGCGTAGTGGGGATTGTCTGAGATGTCCGGCTTGGGTCCATCACTTATGGTCATAAGGAAAGGACTAGGTCGATCTTCAAACCTTCAGCAGTATCGCATGAGGTGGAGGGAGGCCAAGAGAAAGAAACACATTCTGACCAAGGTGTGTTCCTCGGTTTTGAGTCGCGTGGACGCGAGAGAAGTGTTTGGTGTGGGAATGGAATTGATGGAAGCATCTTTGGTGTCGAGTGTCTTCATTTACTTCGCACTGGCGAAATTATGTGGGGGCGAGGGCGTCAGACGGTCATTTAAAACATGTACCGTCATTTCAAAATATGTTTTGACTTGTCTAACTCTTACACACCTCCATCCTCGCCTTCTCATATCCCAGGTCGATGTCTTCGGTCCATACCCATCTCATTCGGTCCTGCAAGTTATCACGTACTAGGGGCAGGCACTCCTCATACGACTTCCCAAGCATCTCATCCATCTGCATTTCATACACCTGGCCTGCTTGCCTAGCAGTAGCTTGGGCTCTTTGCGCCCGTGGAAGCCGGACATCCTGATACAATTGTGTCCATTTCTCAAGATTCTCATCGGCGTGGTTTCGAGAACGGAGATAGTCTTGCAGTGCGCGACCCAGAATGTAGCCATCTTCAATGGCTTGACCTGCTCCTGCGCCTGGGGACATGTTTAGTCTCCGCATTGAACGGATGTGGGTCAAATAAACAATCTTACCTTGGTGAGGGAGCATCTGTACCATTGTCAGAACTGCTTCAACATGTTTGAAACATGGATTGAGGAGACCTACCGCATGAGCGGCATCGCCCATAAGTACAACCTTGCCCTGAGCAAACACCCATTGCGGCAACGGTTTCCGGTCATTCAAGACCCATTTAGAGGGATGTTCCGGCATATGGGAAATAATCTCTAGGACGGTCTTGTCAAACTCCTCAAAATCCTTTGCGAGATCACTCTTGTTTCCGGTGGCGGTCCAGCTCTCCTTCAGGCCGCCTAGCTTGTTTTCTTCTGTTGCGACGAAGGCGACAATATTCAAGATCCTGTTATTACTGATTGGGAACACTAAGAAATGCTTGTCCTTGCCCAGCCAGCTGACAGAATAGGTCTGAAATGGCCAATTCGATTCAAGCTTGCTGATAGGTACCAGTCCCCGATATGCGATTCTACCTCCGTAACGGGGGTTATCTGTGCTGAACTGTGCTCGAAGTTTTGAATGTATGCCATCACACCCAACGGCTAGATCAGCAGTAGCAGTGCTGCCATCTTTAAAATTCAAGGTGACAGTCTCGCCCTCGTCCTGAAGAACAGGTATCAGGCCAGACACATTAACAATGTATAATAGATGAGAGACACTCACGACAACGTCGATGCAAGACTTGTTTTCGTGCAGAGTTGCAGCTCCTCGTTCTTTGATGGTGTCAACCAAGAGATCCAAAAATTCTGCACGGTGGACGGGACATTGTCGAATCCTCTCTCGATCGTTGGCCGGTACAGTCACGATGTCTGTTCCTGTATCGTAACGACGAAAAGATATCCAGATACCTTCGCGACTACCAGCAATACCGTTCACCGCATCTCCAATGCCAATGTGATGAAGCAATCTTGCAGCGTTGACGCCAATGCCGATACCAGCACCGATTTCTTTATACTGTGGTGCTTGTTCGTACACATCAATTTTGATGCCTTCGCCGGCACAGTGGTGATGCAATGATAGAGCAGCACACAGGCCTCCGATGCCACCGCCGACAATAGCTATTCTAAACGGAGGGCCTTGGGAGCCCATTGTGGCAGGTCAGCTTGGGATGTCCAAAATGCAGAATTGAAAATGTAAGTTTCTGGTCCTTGGCTTCCCAACCAAGCAATTACAGGACAACTGGACTACACCAAGGTCCATTCTATTTGATGTTGGCGTCCGAGAAATATTCCAGCTGCCGACTCAAGCAAAAGCAAAATGGACGACGGCAGGAGTTCGGGGAGATCCTTTAACTCCCCGAAGTTGACTCCCCAATTCCCCTTGTTGCCGACAACCTACTCCGCACTACGCGAATTCCTTTGGGTCAAAGGTCTGTTGGGTTGCGTCGTTCTCTATCCTGTGCCCTAGACGAAGTATTGGTTACTGGGCTGTCTTCACCATCGACCAGGTGTCTGAATTCGTCTGCCGACATGGACTGCCGATCTTGCGGCACACTGTTCCCTATCCAACCCAGGCTTGATCTACTGACAGGGTGGTCTCAGTGGTATAGAAATCTTGACGAATAAATCACTGGCTCTTAATTTGAGGTCACAGAACTCTGCCTCTTGATCTCTACAGTTTGCCCTTGCTAAACATTCACAATGAAAGGCAAAATCGCCCTCGAGGAATGCTGGACCATCCCAGAAACCTTCCAGAGCTTCAACCCGAGCCAGTTTGCCGGCAAGGGCGTCATCGGAGATGATTTGAACGCCAACCTGCTCGATGTTCACGGAAAGCGTCTCCAGGAAATGGACGAAAATGACGTCGAGTTCATGGTCCTTTCCCTCAATGCTCCAGGCGTCCAGAATGTTACCGACCCCGCTGCGGCTGAGAAGCTGGCCGAGATCGCCAATGACAAGATCGAAGCCGAAGTCCTGAAGGACCCCAAACGATTCGCGGCCTTTGCCGCTCTGAGCATGCATGATCCAGCACAAGCCGGGCGGGAACTCCGCAGATGCATGACAGAGAAGAAGGGCTTCGTCGGTGCGATGCTCAACGATTTCCAGAGCAGTGGACCGGATGGGAACACGATGCTGTTCTACGATGACCCAAAGTACGACGAGTTCTGGAAGGTCGCGCATGAACTGAAAGCACCCGTGTATCTTCACCCCCGGACATCCAGCCCCCTGATCAAGGAAATGATGTGGAAAGGGAGACCTTGGCTCGACTTCTCGGCCCTGGGATATGCGAATCGACTGAACATGCACACTCTTGGTATCATTACCGGTGGCGTTCTTGACCGCTTTCCAGATCTTAAGATCATCATTGGACACATGGGGGAACACATGTAAGTTGATTTTGGCCATCTGACAGCCCGTATCCGTTGTGTGTGCCACCAGCTAATCAGTCGATCACCCGTTCTACAGCCCCTACGACCTCTATCGCATTGACCACAAGCTCGACCGCAGCCGCTTTCCCAACATGCCGATGCGGAAGGATCGGCTCGTGCGCGATTACTTTGGCACGCAGGTTTTCATCACCACATCCGGCCACTTCAGTACGCCAGCACTGATTTGCGCCATGACCGAGATCGGCGCCCGGAGTATTTGCTTCTCCATCGACTACCCTTTTGAGTCTATTCCGAATGGATGCTGCTGGTGGGACGAGCATGTGAGTCCTGTAGTCAACGAACGGGACTTTGTCGATATGGGTAGGAACAATGCGTTGCAAATCTTTCCGAGGTTGACCGAAGGTCTGCATGGCCTGAAAGAAATGGGGCCAGCAGAATGTGGAGTTGGCGGGCTCAGGGCCGAGGATGGAGAAGTGACATTTGGGATGTACAACAAGGATTTCAATAAGAGGGGAAAGAAAATGTATTCATGATGAGTGGAATATTGGCAAGGGTGATGATACCTCCTCTCGCTCGCTTTTCGCAACTCTTGGTTGAGACCCTGGGACATCGTCATCAGTTGAAAAGAGTGCGACTTCGGTATTTGGATGATGAAGGTTTCGAGCTAACATTCACTACGTTGAGCTCGACCTTTGAATAGGCTCCGCGATGTTTAACTTTCGTTTTCTATTTGTCTCATGGTTCTCTGTTCTGCCTTTTTTCCAGTACCGCTTTTTAGCATTGCCTCTACTGCGGAGTCGTTGGCCTCAAGGACTCGGAAACCAGTCTTCTAGATAGTCACTCCACTCTCCACGTCCGGCGAGGTATAGACGAAGGCTCCTGCCGACATCATACTCATCCTCGGGGCTGTTCGGAGTAGGGTCGCTGAACACATCAGGATTTGGGAAATCGAAGTCGAACGCCCCTCCTTCGGAATAAACTTCTCTGAAATGAAGTTGCAAGGAATTGGGATGCTCGCGAATCGCATCAAAGAGCGGCTTCCAACCACGAGGGCCTTCCCTAGGCCAACAACCTTCAAACAAGAGATACCGCAGTTCGCAGCAGTGCCCCAAATCTGCTTGCAGTTGAGAGGCAGGGAAAGGCATGTTGGCCAGATGCAGCGTGCGAAGAGCCGGCAGTTTCATGTCCCAATTCATGTGCGCGAGAGTGCAGAAGACCTTGACATTTCTTTCCGACCGTTCCATGCTCAAAACCTGAACAGTGTTTTGAACCTTTTTCATAAGAGTAGAGCACAAGATGGTCACACGGTCGAAGCATGGGAATTCGTCGTGCACCATCCGAGACTGGTACGGAAAGTAAGGCGTCTCGTAGAAACTGAAATGAGTCGTATGATCAAAGGGAAGTTGGGAGCTCAAATCCTCCAACTTATCTGTTCGAAGGACGTTGCAGTCAAGTTTGAAGTCCACAATTCGCATATTAGCCGACACAAGGCATTCTGTGACGACTCTGAAGAGTTGAACTTCGCCAAAAGCGCTCAATGTTGTGAGAGCGCGAATGTTATTGTTACAAAACTCGCATTCGCCCTTTAGACCATTTTCGCGACAGTAGACCCCTTGCGGCCAGAAGCTGGGAATGTTGCCTATGACGAAGGATGATGCCCCTGGGAAGGCCTTCAAGGCTGCGATCCAAGCGCGCTGCAAGCTCCCATTCTGTAGGATGCCCACGTCCTCATTCGCACATTCTGCGTAGAATGTATAGGCGGCTGTGACGTTGCCCGTGGTCCCAGGACATTTAGCGCCAAATCTCTGATACATATACCAGATCTCGTGCCACTGCGCGATGTGATGCTGGTGGTGCGGGCCACGCTGACAGGTGTAGATGGCTAACAATCGCTCGAAATCATCCCTGGCGACATCTGGTGAACATAGAGATGGCCTGAAGGTGACCTCCCTCACGAATGGCCCAAATGTGGCAAAGGGCGTCTCCAACACGTGGGAGAGTTGGTCTCCAGTCGCACGAAATGTGATATGATCGAACAGAACGGACTTGATGACGGCCATATCAGCGAACTCTCGGCAAGTCATCCGCAGGTTTCGTAGGGTGCTTCGTGCAACTCTATGACAGATCAGTCACTCAGGCCTAGCAGTTGTTCGATCGCTCTCACAGAAGGAGGTCAGATCCGCAGCCATCTTCCACACAGCGGGCAATTTCGATATCATTCGCCAACAGTAGCGCGATATTGTAAAGTATTTGACCATGCAGCGGAACAGTTGAACCTGACATGTCCGCTGGCTAAGAGGTTGAGTAGTATCTGGAGCGTGGAGCGAGAGCAGAGGAGCACAGGCTGCTGTCCGCTAACCTGGTAGCAATGTCGTGTAACTGTTATTAAAGGACGAGAAGATGGTGAAGAAATGATGGAGGTAGATTCGAGAGTGTCGGTAGAAGAGAAGAAGGGAACCCAGAAAGCACCTGCCTCAACCACCGACACTGCCCGAAGAGAGAGGAGATCTCGCTCAAGGAAGAGGACTGAAAGCGTGTTCCATGAGGAAAGAACTCAGCTGGCTTGGACTCAAGAGACTGAAGTTGTGATCATGATTCCTCTAGCACAAAATCAACATCCACCAAGACAAGGCCGATATAATGCAAGCCTGGTCCTGAAACGCCAATCTACAGTACGCAAGTTATATCAAATCGAAATCTGAAATTCCTTCCTGCGCTCGCGTTAACATCATGCTGTCCCTTAGGAATCGAGTGCTGCAGTCACAAAAATAGGCGGCAGTGCAAGGTCAGTGTCAGCTGCGCTATACACTCATCGGCCTTCTTCACACAGCCATCTCGGCTTGCAGTTTCCGTAATTCTTCTTCCTCGTCCTCTTCCACCGTTGAGGGTTTGTTGCTTACTATAGAACAGTCAATGCCTGTTACATATCCAACTGCAAGGGGCGACTTACTTGGACCAGCAGACACCGCGGGGAGCCTGTTGATTTCGCCTGTGACAGGTGTCGGGCCAGTCTTTAACATCCTCTCGTCCATGGCCTCTTGCTCCAACCCTTCCAGCTCTTCCTCCAAATCAGCCTCGTCAATAGGCTCACCAATAGGAGCATTGGTGATCGCGTTGGCGATTTCTTCGCCGAGTGCGTGTTGTTCGCGTAGCTCGTCCATGGTTTGATCCACTTTGTCGATGGTCAGATTGCCATGGATCTGCTTCATGGCTTGTCCTGCATTCTTCATGGCATTCAGTGTCTCCTGGTTAATATTGGCGGCTTCGATCGAGTAGATTTGTTGTTCCACCTGAGCGATCTGGGCTGATGTCTGCTCAAGTGTACGCTCGTGAAGTTTTTTGCGTCGCAGAGCGGCTTTGGCAGCTGAAGAGCGAGAGAAACATCGTGTTAGTATTAACCCCATCCACGAGGAGGCACGCCGGTTGGCTTACCCGCTTTATTTGTGGTTATGTTCTTCCTTGCTATCGCATCCTGCTCTGCCATCTGGTTCTCCAGGTGCTTCTCCCTCTTTTGTAGCATATCTAGCTGCGACCGCAGCTGCAAAATGGCCTTTTTGGGAGCATCTTTTCTGGCTTGGGCTGCTGCCCCGCCAAACCAACCCCACATGTCGTTTGATAGAAAGATGAGGACTTTATGAGGTTGGTGCAAAGAGGGATTCCGAAAACCGTCGGCCGGAGGCACGGAAGTGAGCTGGTCACAGTAGAGAGTCTATCCGGTACGGTAGAGTCACTTCCACCTGCTTCGATCGGTATCGCGTGT